CTCTGAGTGCCGTTCGCATCAGTAGCGATTATTTTGCTTGCCTTATCTCCACCCCTTTAGTTTCTTCCCCCAATTTTCTACCCCCTTGTATTAATGCCCCCTGTGGTAAGCAAAATATTATCGTTACAATGTTGCCAAATTATAATAAGGGAGACATAAGTTTAAAGTTTAGTTTCTGTATTTCCGATTCTGGAATACCATGGGGAATTGTTGGGCATACGTTGAATAATATTAGTCGTTCACTAGGAGTAATTAATCTTCTTCCTTGTATTATTTAATTGTTTACTATGATTTTCCTTGATGAACATTTATAAATTTGTCAACTAGTCCTTCCTTAGATAAATAAATACAAATCCTATTGTTAGCTATACGAGAAGAGAACAATATATCTTTTGAAGAAATAACTGATCCTAGTGATACAAGATAATCTTCTAATTTTACATTTTCTAATGGACTTAATACAATAGCTTGCTTTCTGGATGGAAAATTAAGAGTACTGGTTACTGATGAGTACGATTTTTTAGGTGTTGGTGGTGAAATACAGCTCATTTCCTGAGGTAATTCGGAATTAATATCATCCATTTAAATAAACTTTGAAACTAGTCATTAAATCTGAATGCGGTCCTGTATTCAAACTATAACAAGGCAATTAAGCCGGTGTACGTTAAAGTTCGTCACGATCACTTAATGAAACTGCTAGTAGAAAAAAACTTGGATAAAAGGGACATTAGAATTATCTCTAAGATTTACTATAACCAGAAAGCAAATATCCGAATAGAGCAAGAGACAACGGAGGAAATCGAGATCAAGAAAGGCGTAAGACAGGGTTGTATATTCTCACCGACCTTATTCAATCTATACTCCGAAGATATTATAAACACAGCACTTTCGGATCAAAATATAGGTATTAAGATAAATGGCATCCGAATAAACAACTTGAGATATGCCGATGACACGGTACTAATCGCAGAAACTTGGGAAGATCTTCAAATACTAATTAACAAAATAGTAGACTGCAGTGAAGAACACGGATTATCACTTAACATAAGCAAAACAAAAATAATGCTAATATCTAAATCACCACAAAACTTCCCTGACATAACCGTGCATGATCAAAGAATCGAACGTGTAAGAAGATATAATTACCTGGGAACTGTTATCAACGAAAATAATGATTGCTCTGAAGAAATCAGAACCAGAATAGAGAAAGCTAGAGCCACATTTAGTAAATTGAAAAAGGTGTTCTGCGGAAGAGATGTAAGTCTAAAACTTAAAATTCGCCTTTTGAGATGTTACGTTATGTCAGTTCTCCTCTACGGGATGGAAACATGGACATTGAAAAAGATCGATACCAAAAAGATAGAAGCATTTGAGTTGTGGATGTATCGTAGAATATTAAGAATACCCTGGACAGAGAAAGTAACAAATGTGGAGGTTTTGCGGAGAGTGCGGAAAGAGAAAGAGCTGATACTTACTGTTAAAAAGCGCAAACTACAATATTTGGGACATGTTATGAGGGGAGATAAATACCAGTTGCTGCAATTGATTATACAGGGAAAGATAATGGGAAAGAGATCTATAGGAAGAAGAATGCATTCATGGTTGAAAAACTTGAGAATGGTACAATTGCACCTATTACCAACTGTTTAGATCTGCAGCATCAAAATTACGCATAGCTTTGATGATAGCCAAACTTCGGAACGAAGACGGCACTTGAAGAAGAAGAAGAAGCCGGTGCAAAAACAAAAAAAGATAAGAAATTCTTATTTGTATTTTAAATATTGGATGGTCCTTCTTATGTTGTCAAATAGATATTTTAGTTTATTACTTATAATTGATGTAATATAAGCTGACTTACAGAGTCTCTGATGTTACTCCTATTCAGGAACTTCACCAACTCACTCTTGTAATTTTTCAACGGGTATATTTAACTTAAAATTCACTTAACTTAAGAGCCGAAATTTTCCTATTAAACTGGTTAACCCTTAATTTGGCAAGCCTTAATATAACAGTAATTTTTGTGAAATTGTTGTTTAGGTAGTGTGATATGGTATATCACAAGGCATTTTGACCATTTTTATATTATTTTTTTTATATAAACAAGGGAGATATGGAGTGTATCCCACAAGATGCATAGTCAAATATCCAAATTTATTGTAAAAGTTTATTATGTATCTTATAAGAAACAAAGTCGAAGATTGTAGGTAAAACCTCACAATAAAAGCAGAAACTTAAAGTACTAAACTAGTTTTCTAATGAAAAAAAAAGAAAGCAAAAAGTAATAAAGTAATATATAATAAAGTAACATAATTTTTCATTCTAGTAAAAAACAACCAAAACTGTTGTAAAACTTACTTATGTGCTATTATGAAAAGAATAAAAACAATTTCTATCCTTTACTAAACACAATCTAATTGTTAGAGTCTCTGCTATGCACTTTCTAAAATATTTTTGAGAGTATAACCTTTGGACGTGTGTTGTAAAATATTTCTATCCCTTCTATACAGAATCCATGCGTTGTTTATACAAATATCTAGCATTTGTGCAAATGTGGAGAGGTACCAGCGACGAGTTTTTAGGGGAATACTATAAAGGCTTACCAGCATGTCCATCAGATCTACTCCACCCATGTTAGCATTGTAGTGTTTTATGAGAGAGGGAGAAGGGACTTCAATTTTTGCTCGCTGCCTTTTATCATACCTTTTAATTGTTTGGGCCGGTGTAGAAGCTATATATGTACTGGCAAGTAAAACAGGTGTGTTGTCAAACCATTTCACAACATTTTTTTATTAATGTTGTCAGTTTTTGAACAAAACGACCCTCTTCCTTTTTTCTTCAGAGACTTATCATCTTCTAAAACACAATTTTTTAATCAATCATTTCTCATTGTTCCCAGGGCTAAAATTCCATAATCATGGCGAAGAATGTAAAACAAATCAAAACTTGAAAAGAAATTATCGACATAGATAACACTGAACGCCGGTGATTTCATTGATTGTATTAGAGCAAGAACAACTTTAGCACCTACCAATCCTAAAGATTCTTCTTTTTGTGAAAAAGTATGCTGCCTAAAAGTATCATCCCCCCATAAACTATGAAATCGTCCACAAATCCTGGAATGCCGGCTCTAACAAATTTATATACTGTGGTCGTGAACCAGACTTTTTCCCTTTATAAGGGACCATCATCTCGTCGATACTCTGGCGTCTTTCTTCTTCTATAATAGAACAATTTCTTCTCACTATATCCAAAACTGGGCGAATTCGGTAGTACTGATCGTTGTTTATATGATCGTTATTTGCGAAGTGAATATACCGGCGAATTTTCTGATATTGTTTGAGAGGCAATATTTCTGATATTTGATTGTATCTGAAGTTTACACTCCAGTAGTCCAAGTATGATGGCATAGCTACTATACCCATTAAAATCTGTATCGCTACGAAGTCACTTGTCTCATCTTTGGTAACGCTTATCGACTTGCCTGTTTGCTTAACGGAACAAAGGTTTGTATTGTTGACAATCAACTCGAATAGATCGTCTGAAAAAAACATTTTGAAATATTCTAATGGTGACTTTAATTCATCCACATCAGAAAAGTTATTTTTGGGAATGTTCACAGAATATTGAAATTCTTCTTTCGTCCAGTGGTATTCAAGCAAATTCTGTCGTTTCGTGCGTTTACTTTGTAGTTTGCCTTTAGGTTGGTTAGTATTGTCGTTATTATCTTTAAATGGTCCAGGTATCTGATGTTGTGATCGTGTTTTTAGAGGACTCGAAAGCAGATTTAGGTATACTGCAAATAGATTTAAGCGTACTATAAGCAGATTGATGTGTTGATAGCTCTAGTTTTAAATGTATCAAAAATTTCTTGAACTTCAGGAGGTAAACTTTCGCCCTCAGAACTTTCATCGGTTTTAGAAGTTTGACTTCTAGATGAATCCATATCAGAACTTTGAGTCCTAGATGGTTTAGTATAACTTTCATTTTCTTCATCGCTCGAATCATCCATATCAGAACTTTGAGTTCTAGATAGTTTAGTATAACTTTCATTTTCTTCATCGCTCGAATCATCCATATCAGATGAAGGTGGTGGAAGTAATGCTAAAATTTTTTCGGACCTTGATGATGTCATATTGGTATTTATCCAATATGACATCATCCAATTATCCAATATGAAACCAAGGAAACTTGGTTTCATACTGGATATACTTACCTAGTAGTATACTTACTTAGTTGGCTATACTTACCTATATAACTAAATGAATTCATTTTGAAACGTTTCATTAAACAAATTTTAATAATGAAATTGGAAATGAAGTGTGGGATACGTACAAAACAAAAATATTTCACAATACTGAATATATGGAAAAGAAAACTATAAGACACATAACAAAAAAGTTCCATTAAGCTGTATCTTTGGCAAAGTAGATTATAGGATACAAAACAAAAATGTTCTTTTATGCTGTATCTTTGGCAAAGTAGATTATAGGATACAGCTTAAAAAATGGTTCGGTATCGTCACTTTTAAATATTTATATATAAATATTGATATATGTATGATTACAACACTTCATCATACTACAATTTCACCTCCTGAATTAAAACAAAATACTTATTTTTACAGTAATACTGAAAAAAACTTACCAGCCTTTTTCTAATCGGCGTTCACTAGGCAACCATCTTATAAACAATTGTGAATAACTTTGAATGATCACTATAGATGGCAGTACTATTAGCTTTCTGAGTTTAGTAGACGTATACGTAATACATTTAACAGACAATAATGAGTAAATTATTTAAGAGATAGACAATTTGAATATTTGAAAATGACGTAGTCTATAAGATACAAATCCAAATTAAGGGTTAACTTCCAGGTCAGGAATCCTACATATTTTTTCTGATCACCGTTTTGGAATATGAACATTCCTATAACGGTAAAAAAATCCACCTAACGTAACCTGTCTAGGTACAAGCTTACTTAACTCTTAATTAATTTTTAGGGCTAGAAAGGATGACCCCGAAGAAGAATATGATCCATACTTACATAGAAATCTTCCGAGTCCTAACAAGTAAGTTTAGAATAAAACATCCTTATTCCTAAGTATATCTTAGTGTATTGTCCTACATAAGTTAAGATAGTTAAATTGTTAGATATTTAGATCCAGCAATGGTATTTAAAATTATTTCCGTATTATCAGCACAAATGACTTCCAAAAAACTGTTAACTAATATTTCTTTTAGATTTAAGCGCTGGTCCCAAGTGCTTTGAATTTTATTTTTCCTAATTAGTACCTATTTTCTTTGTTTGTACTTTTCTTCTTCCTGCTTTATTGATATTCTAATATCTGGTTTATTTCGGTTTTTAGCCTCAACTAATCACCCACCGTTTACTCTAGCGACCTATATCCTTTCTTCTAATTGGCGATTCTGTCTATTGTTATTGTTACTGTTCTGTTTCCCGTTTTGCGTTCTATATGTTTATTCTATTCTGCTTTTTTGTCGACAGGTTTATTTGCTCTATTCCATATGTCATCTCCAATATTCTTTGAGTTTTGACCGTATCTGTCCTTGTTTCCGCTGTGTACGTCGTTGTTGACCCTACTGTTGATATACAGGGTGGTGAATCGGCAAACGGTCCATAGGAAACTCAATGGTAAATTCTAAATTGTTGAATTCCTGCTTCCCTAATTATTTTACACCAAAAGTCATGGGAAACTATTTGTAGAGGACTCAAATATGTACCGAAAACAACTGTTAAAATTATTCTACGACTTAAACGTATTCCAAAATTTCGCTAAAATATAATACATTTTTCTGTGAAAAAATGTGTATTACGTGTTGCGTTTTGTCATATTATTGTTTCTGATATTTGACAATATTTAAATCAATTATATTATATTTATCTATGATTTAAATGGCCAAAATTTTATGATTTAATGTTTAAAAAAAATTAAGTTGATTAAAAAATGTACTCAGTTGAAGAGAAAAAAGCAATAATAAAAATGTTTTCTTCATGTTTTATTATAATATTTGTTATAGTTTTATGTTTAGAAATAATCATATATTATTATTAGGAATAAAGATCACAGTAACAGTATATTGGAATTCATTGAATAGTTGTATAACTTAACTTAACATGGAATTAAATTTTAGTGAATTAGAATACCTATCTTACGTTAAATAAAGATCCGGTAGTGGCAGGAAAAGGTTCGCGCCGTTATGCGATTTTTCGTCAACTGAGTACATTTCATTATATTGATCGATTTGTAAACAATATTATTTATTGTTCACAAAGTAATAATGTTCAGTAGTAGTAGTATTTAGTAAAATTCATTGTTTATAATTTAATCATAAAATAAAAAGATTGACAATTCAAATTGTCAAACATCTGACATTAATAATGATAAAACAAACACATCCTAATATATATTCTTGCATTACGTGTGGCCTAACTTTTAGGGGTGGTCTGAAAAATGAATCACATTTTTTTAAAATTTTGAAGTACAGTTGATTTGTAGAACGGATTTAACATGTGTTTTTAATTCAGATTTTAGTCCTCTACAAATAGTTTTTTATGACTTTTGATCTAAAATAATTAGGGAAGCAGCAATTCAACAATTTAAAATTTCTCATTGAGTTTCCTATGGTCCGTTTGACGATTCACCACCCGGTATATATATATATATATATATATATATATATATATATATATATATATATATATATATTATATATATATATATATATCCTAGTTTTCATTTCCATTGTGAGGTATTTGTTTCGCCATATTGTATTGTTTAGACATCCTGCTATGTTGTTCGATAAAGGCTATAGCGGAAAAAGATGGTCAAAATTGCACCATGCTCGATTCAGTTTTGGGCCTGGCCTTTCAAAAGGACATAATTAAAAACTCACTCAGTTAAATTTTCAAGTCCCTAGGTGCCTCTGGGGGTTCGCTATGGGAAAAAACGTATTAAAAAAAGTTTTTTTAGACGCTGTATTGCTGCAAAAAATCTGAAAAAATTCTTGAAAGCGTAGTTTAATAATACCATCCTACCTATTTTTTTCAAATGTTTAGCTTGAAAATTGAGCCAAGGAAAAATATTTGAAATTTTCAGTAATATTTTAGGTTATATCGGAAATTTTTGGCCAACTTTAAAACAATGTTTTTTATGTGTTTTTTCCCGTTCTTTCGAATGGCATAGGTATTATTATCATTTTCAACGTGGAAAATGCCTAAAAATAGAAAAAACTGCTTTTATTGGCAGTTTTATGAAGCACCCCTACCCCTTAACAATAAATTATATGGGCCTAGGGACAAAACAAAAACAAATACGTATTACATAGAAAACAAAAAATTTATTTATACTGCCATAAGATACAATAATATCAGTTTTTATAAAATAAAAAAAATATTAATAGAATAAACATAAATTAGGTTTTTTAGTGAGATAGATGACTCATAACCTTAACAACATACATCTAAATTAATGATAATTCATATTTTTATATTTTTGTATTTTTACCTTTACATTCGAAATAAGCTATTAAAACTATTGTTTTTTTCCTGCAGCATGCTAAAAAAAAACGAAAAACTCCGTTTTTCGGCGTTGTTTTAAGCTTTCACTATATAACCTCTAAATTCAGTGTCTAAATGAATGGTAATTTACATTTTCACATGTATCTTTCGCTTTACACGAAATTTTTTTCTAATGATATTAGTATGCAATTCGGTATTAATCGGTCGGTAAGTGCCGTGTCTTAAATATAATCAAAGGAGAGGTTCAGCCCGGTGGATTCGATATGCCAAACGGTCAGAACATCGAGGCCATGCGTAAAAATAATATGTATAAATACCTTAGAATAAAGCAAGCAGGGAAGATTGACCATAAGCAAATGAAAACTGAGATAACTACTGAGTTTATACGAAAAGTAAAACAGCTGCTTTGTTCACACCTTAATAGTAAAAATTTGTTTAAGGCACTAAACACCTATGCATGTTTCGCGCTTTGCTACTTATTTGACAATGTTAAGTGGACAAAAAGGAATATAGAAAATCTTCATCGAAAAGTACGAACACACCTTACAAAGCCACAAAAATACCATCCTCGAATTGCAGTAGAAAGAACAACATTATCACTGTGTTTAGGAGGACTAGGACTTATGGATATAAGTGAGCAACTAGAAAAACACATTACTAATTTAAGAACTTATCTTTAGGTGCAGGCTGAGACATCTACTCTACAGCGCGCGATTTGTGCAGTAGATAATCTAACATCGATTAAACTGAGGGAACCAGAAATGCGCATAAACTATCTGACTTAGGTCGAAAAAATTGCGTACTTGGATGGGTAAACTTGCACGGGCGACATCCCAATAAGGTCAGTCACGACCATGTCGACAATATAGCGTCGAACTATTGGCTGACATCAGGAAAGATATTCCCTGAAACAGAAGGTTCATTACTTGCCATTGAATTATTGCCAACTGAATATAAAGAATGGCACGACTCAACACGAAAGATCCTTCATTAATAGATAGCCATCTAATTGGGACTTCTCCAAACAAACCATTTCCCATATTATCAATACGTTCCTGAAAGTATACTTGAAAAATGTAAATACACTATCTTACTGACAAAAAAATGCGCACCTGAATGGATAAAGATCTACACAGGCGACATCTCAATGAAGTAAGTCAAGACTGTCAACAATATAGCGTCCAACTATTGGCTGATATTAGAAAAGATGTTCCCTAAAACAAAAGGCTCATTACTTGCCATTAAGGATCAGGTTATACTAACAAAAAATTACTTTAAATATATCATTCTCAAAGAGCATGGAGAAGAGTTGCCAGAGACAGGGGCGAATGGAAGATTGTTCTGAAGAAGGCTTTGGCTCATAAAGAGCTGTAACGCCACTGATGATGATGATATCATCATCCTCATATATTTATAAGACCCTTAAGTCCAAAACGATAAATGCCGATATGGATGTTATGCACAAGAAACCATCAAACATCTTATTGGGAGCTAACATGCATTTGGTGCAACTAAATATAAAGAACGGCATGATTCAGTACGAAAATCTTTCATCAAGAAGTAGCTATCAGACTGGGACTTCTCCAAGCAAACCATCTCCCACTTTACCAATACGTCCCAGAAAGAATGCTTGAAAATTACAACTTTAAGCTATATTGGGACTGCACTGTGCTATACAGACCAAACAATAGCATACGGTAAACCAGATCTCGTAGTAGTTAATAAACTAACAAGACGTAAACAACACTAATCAATGTGGCGATACCTAACAACAATAATTTGCGTATTAAATATAACGAAAATATCGACAAATACAGAGATCTGGAAATACAAATAAGGAAACAATGGAGAATGGAAAGTATTTAGACGATACCTGTTCTTTATACAACTGTAGACATTCGGAAGATCCTCCTAAAAACAAGCTGAGTTTAAATAAATATCTCTATAAGACCATGCAGAAAGCTGTATTACTCTCGACGTCCAGACGTGTACGACAATTTTTGGGAGATACTTCAGCATACCAAGTCACCTACGACCTCGATAACACGGAAAGAGCCTCACCAGAACTCAATCATTTTGATCTATCTGAGATAAGTGAATTTTCTGCTTAGAGGGAGTGAAAGCCATATGGCTAAATCGGGTTAATAATAATAATAATTTGAAACCACCTGCACTAGATGCTAAAAACTGTGGAAACATTCTCAAGTGATATCAGTATACACTTTGGACTATACTAGACTATTTTAACTATAGTCAGGAGAAAGGTTCAGCCCGGAAGTTTCGATAGGCAATATGGATAAATCATCGGGGTAATGGGTGAAAATGATATGTACAAATATATCGGAGTAAAGCAAGTGCGGAAAATTGACCATAAACAAATGAAAACCTAACTAACTTTAGAGTTTGTGTGAAGAGTAAGACAGCTAAATCGGTCATATCTTAATAGTACAAATCTGTTTAGGCCATTAAATACGTACGCCTATTCCCCGCTTTAGCTACTCATTTGGTATTATTAAGTTGTCAAAAACGGGTATAGAAAGTCTTTAGCGAAAAGTTAAAATACAAGTTCACAAAGACGCAAAAATACCATCCATATAGTGCAGTAAAGAGAACAACATTACTGTGGTATCAAGCAGAAAGAGGACTTATGGACATAGGTGAGTAACTTAATAAATAGGTTGCTAATTTAAGAGCCTATTTTCAGACGCAGGATGAGATATCTAATTTAGATTGAGCAATGTGCAAAGTAGGTGACACCACTGAGAAAACAAGAAGTACGCATAAACCTCCTGACTAAGCAAGAAAAAAAGTTTCTTTACCAAGAACTAGCTAGCAAACTGGAACTTCTCCAAATCAACCATCTTCCTTATTATCAATACCTCCCTGACAAAATCCTTGAAAACGACAACTATAAGCTTTACTGGGACCGCACTATACTCACAGACCAACCAGTGGCATATAATAGACCGGATCTCATACTAGTTAATAAACTTACTAGATAGACAACATTATTAGATGTGGCAATATCTAATAATAATAATCTGCGTGTTAAATACAACGAAAAAATCTCCAAGTACAGAAATCTATAAATACAAATAAGTAGACAATAGAAATTGGAAAGTACTCACACAATATCTGTTATTCTCTCTACTATTGGAGTTATTCCGAAAAACTTCCTAGAAAAAATTAAACAGCTGGATATTAATAAACATCTATATAAGACCATGCAAAAAGCAGTACTGTTCTCAACGTCTAGATGCGTAAGAAAATTTGTGATAGATATGGTAGGTATTTGGGATAAGTGAATTTTCTCCTTAGAGGGAGTGTGAGCTGTATGCTCATGGGAAAACACAAACATCAATGCAAGGGTTGAGTCTATTTTGAATTTCATCTTATCTGAAGGTTTGGTTATATCCAATATAGGAAACAAGCCAACTTTTGTCACTAAGGAACACAAAGAAGTATTAGTTTTAACACTTTACACAAGCAATATAAGTGATATAATAATAAATTGGGTTGTGTCTGACGAACCCCCATTTTCGGGTCATAAAAATATACGATTTGACCTTTATATTTGATATTTTTCGATCGGAAATTAAATATAGAAATCGAGGAGATACAAACTGGGTAGGATATAGTTTTGTTTAAAAAAATTCACAAGGAAAACAATTCCTGTAGCTGGCTGTATACCACGTATCACAAAAAAGAGGTTAGTCTTCGTAAGTGGGTATATTTATTTAAAAAACCCTTAAAAGGGCTACATAAAAAAAAACGTTTTCGGACTACAGTCCATCATCAGGTTTAAATTTTAAAATTGCTAGGTTAAAATGCCTGAGCCACCAAAATACATGGGTAAAAACCCTTTAAATTACATATAGTTGTAAAAGATTATACATCTTGTTGTTAAAAAACTGTGAAGTTCAGTATTAAATTAAATATGACTTCAGGTAACATACATTGTTGAAGTGAGTTCCGGGGAGTAAACCTCTACACACGGAGAACAGCGAAGCTATTATGGCGGCTTACTAGGAAAACTGCCCAGAAAAAACAAGGAAAAGTACTGGCAGTAATACAGTCTGACGGAACAATGGCTTAAAGAGGATGAGGTCGGAAGTCCGAAGCCTATTTAATAAAGCCAAAAGTAACCAAGATTGGGATGCCTACAGGTATAAGCTGTACAATAAAGAAATTCAGAAAGCCAAAAGGAATTCATGGAGAGAGTTTTGCGAGGAGATTACAGATATTTCGGCATGTTCTCGAATCCATAAAGGCCTGGCAAAGGATGGTGCTAAAACCAAAGAAGTAGGTTTTCTAAAGGAAACTAATGGCAAATTTACGGACACTAAAGAGGAAAGTCTTAGAGAATTGATAAACACGCACCTTCCGGGCGCATCAATTCTAGATGATGCAGATAGGCATCATCTAGAATTGTTGATGCCAAAATAGACATATACCAAAGGCTCACTAGGCCAAGGTCTACAGATTGAGAAATAGCCACAGCAATCACAAGACCAAACAGAATTAGATGGGCTATAAATAAGTTTTGGTCATATAAGTCTCCAGGGACAGATGGCATATATCCAATACTGTTGTATATGGGATTAGGGGTATTGATACCAGACCTATACAAGCTCCTCAAAGTCATTTTAGCATAAGGGTCGTACCGGAAATATGGCAAAAGGTTAAAGTCATATACTTACCTAAGGTAGGTAAAGTATCAGACCTAACACCAAAGTCATAAGTCATATAGACCGATAAGCCTATTTTTTTTTATTAAAAACGCTGGCAAGGCTTTTTGATAGGTACATCAGAAACGAAGTGCTAAAAGATAATTTGCCTCTAAGCAATCGTCAATATGCATACAAATCTGGTAAATCTACGGACTCTGCGCTGGATGATCTAAATAGGCTTATCTTAAAGTCAATGGAAGACAAAGAGATAGTAATGGCCGCTTTTTTAGATATAAAAGCGGCATTTAATAATGTTACAACCAGCTCTTTGGTAGGGGTTATGAGTAGACGAGGCGCACCTGCGGTAATATGCAGATGGATAAGGGCATCCCTGAAGAATAGGACAGTAATGTCCACTCTGGGTAAAGCAACCATTAAAGCAAAAGCAGGTGGAGGCTGTCCACAAGAAGGAGTTCTGTCCCCTTTACTTTGGGCAACCTTGGTAGATGATCTCCTCAGAAATCTGTTCACAGAAGGCTTGCTCAGGTAGTGTCTGAGAGAATGCAAGCAGCCCTAAATATAGCTGACGACTGGTGAAAACACAAATCGTCAACTTCACCAAAAACACAGTACTGCAAGGCCTAAAACCACCGGTGCTGGAAAGAACAGAGATTTCATTTGCCAAAAACAAAATACCTAATAACGTTACTAAATACAACATATAAAATATTGACATCAATAATAAAAAAGAGGTTATCAAAGATCACAAAGAAGACAGAAGGTCAGTACCAATGTAGATTCACAGAAGGAAGATTTATAATAGATGCAATACACATAATAAAACAAATTATGGAAAAAGCAAACGAGTATAAATTAGAATTGGAAATGTTATTCATAGACTTCAAACAGGCATTTGATTCAATTAAAAGGAACGGATTAATGATAGCACTTAAAAAATTAAAAATTCCACATAAACTCAGAAAATTAATAGAAATGACAATGAGAACTACAAAAATAAGCATAAAGACACAAAGAGGAGAGACAGAGAAATTCAGTATAAATAAAGGTATGAAACAAGGAGATGCTTTATCAACAACGCTATTTAAACTAGCAGAATATGTACTGCGAAATATAAATAAAGAAAATCTCAGAACAAGAGGTGGTCAAATAATTGCATATGCAGACGATATTGCTATTATTGTAAAGAACAGAAAAATAATAAAAGAAATGCTTGAAGAAATAAGGGAGAAAGGGGAGGTAATGGGGCTAAGATTAAATTAAGAAAAGACAAAAATATTAAGATTAGGGAAAAAACCAATGAAACAAAAAATCAAAATAGAAAGTTCTGAGTTTGAAGAAGTAGAATAGTTCAAATACCTAGGAGTTACAATAAGTAAATCCGGAGAAAGGAAATCCGAAATAAAAGAAAAAAATATTAGCAGCGAATAAAGCTTATTTTGCAAACAAAAGATTACTTAAAAGCAAAACACTGACAAAATCAGTAACAAGAACGGCTACAAGGAATTGGGTAACTAACAAATCTCTGGAATAGTGAAGGAATTCACCAGGACAAAGACAGGCAAAACAGTTCATTACAGAACATTTGAAAAAATTACGGCACAGCTAATAAGCAAAGGCAGGAAAACAGTCACAGCCATAGTAGGTCTTCTAATAGGGCACTGTAGGCAAAAGGCACTTGAAGCTGATGGGATTATCAGATGATGACCTGTGCAGGTTCTGTCATCTCGAAGAAGAAACAGCAGAGCATATTTTATATCAGTGTGTCAGTCTGGCAAATGTGCGGTTCTTTCCATTAGGAGAAGAAAATCCACTGGCAAATAGCTACATAGAAGGTACAGTCTCGAAGCTACTAGATTTTATAAAAAGGGTCATGCTAGAGAATGTTATCTAGGACTAGAGGAACACAATAGATCTGAAAAGGTCGCAGTGGAATAGGCCGAAGGGTAACCCCTCTTAATTCAATCTAATAGTATTAATAATTACATCTATATTAAGAAAAACAACTACCAGCACAAGAGATTAAAAAAAATGCAAATTGTGATAAACATATCACAAAAAATATAAACTTTGTTGTCAACTAAATGGTTAATTCATTTTTCTCATATTTCTTTTATTTTTTCTATTTGTAGAAAAAAAAAACAAAATAATTTAATCCTTTTTTAAACTTTTAGGAGCATCGAAACCCTAGGTCATCTAATCAAAGGTATTATTGGTACCGGAATTTTGGCATTACCCGAAGGATTTAAATTGGCAGGAATGATAAACGGAATAGTTTCTACCATTCTTATAGGTTTATTGTCCACATATTGCCTACGAATTTTGGTAATTTAGATTGATATTATTTTTTTATCGAGGGCTGAGAACCATATGGTTCCAAGCGACAGTTTGTACAAAATTTGTTTTTTAACATAAATCTATTGTTCTTTGAATCTTGCATAAAATGGTATTAAAAGTTCTGAAATTCGTTGACAGATAGGACCACAGTCAACAATAAAATATAGTTCCAAGTGCACGAAATGCTTTAAGGTTAAAATCACATGGTTCCACGTACTAGAGTGAGAGTATTGGTGAAAGTTATCAGTTAAAATTATCATTTTCTTGTTTTGCGATATCCTCTGTGTCCGAAAATGAATCTTGGGCAGATTATTGTAGTTCCGGTTTTGAATATCTACTAGAAAATATCAGTGGAAACAAATGGTAACCTACTGTTACAACTAAACATTGTACTTTACATTTTGAAAAAAATATAACCTTACTTTTTTAGGCTGTAGCTGGCTGCTGTTCATATTTCTAAAGAAAATGTCACACTGAGAATGCAGTACGGGTAAGATACGGCAATGCTTTTCTTATCGAGAATAAACGCGCAGGGTTGTCGGTTTTCTCCGGCTGTTGATTGCTCATTGTCTCACAGGACCGGCTTGGATAAAATGCATCTGCCGGCAGTACGAATAAAATATTTTATATCATGTATACGTATACAGTAGAATAAAAAGGCATTGATGAGTTATTGACAACGAAAACTATGAATTTTGCATATAAAACGTCAACATGAGATATACAATTGAATCATATTCATAAGAGTAACATTTGAACACCTCTTTACAAGAACAACATACAATAACTGTAGTTTTAATGTTTTACATAAAATAGAAAAAACCTACATAATTTCTAGGAAAGAATTTGGAACTTGGAAATGATATTATTTATAGATATTATATATAATATTCAAATTTCCAATTCTTTCATAGAAATTAGATTTTTTCTATTGTATGTAAAATATTAAAAATACAGTTATGCTCTTTCTATAAATAGGTCTTTATTTCTTTTGTAAAACTTCTGCTACAAATTTACATCATTAACATAATCACCTAAATATGGCCATAAACTTGTTTGTCATAATTAGTATTTGATAAGCTCCAAGCTTTCTTTATTTCACCCCCTACCCATCCTAAGGATGGGTAGGGGGTGAAAGTGCTTTTGGAAAACGAAACTACACTTCAAAATTTAGTTCGAGTTTCAACAGAGAGCATGGAGTCCCATAAGTTTAAATCCGGTGAATTATTTAACGGTTGCGCTAAACTCGTAGTGTTAATGTGTTGTGTTTTTACAAAATACGGAACAACTTAATGTAAGTGCTGCTGTAAGACGTACTTCGTTGATGACTGGTGTTAGCGAAAGAAGCATTTACAATTTCAAAAAAGAAAAAGAACAGAGTGGAACGTTGAAATCGCCAAAAAAAAAAACGTAAAAAACGAGTGTGTAAATCAAATTCTAGAATATTCACATATGACGAGGGTGTAAGAAGTATTCTACGGAGAATTGTTCATTGTGAATTTTTCATGAAAAATTTGCCGCCATTCTTAAAGCATATACATAACTTCATACAAGGTAATGAGAATATACAGCCGTTGTCTCTTTCTACTTTATACAGACTTCTGAAAGATATTGGATTTGTTTATAAGAAACGTGGCCGAAAAAGCATCATGGTGGAGCGAGAGGATATTATTCATTGGCGCCATAATTATTTGAGAACTATACGACGTTTGCGAAAAGACCATTGCAATATCATATATTTGGACGAATCGTGGATTAATGTTGGCCAATCTATAAATTACGAATCGTGCGATACTACGACAAAACAGTCGAGATGCTTTTCTCAAAGGTTTAAGTACTGGCTTAAAAGCACCTACTAAACGAGGTCCACGATGTTTTATTGAATGCAGGTTTTTCAGGAGGTTTCCTTCCTGGCACACAGCGTGTTTTTCTGGCAAAGAAAAATGATGGCGACTATCACGATGAAATGGATGCCGCATATTTTGAGTCGTGGTTTAAGGAGATATTAATATCAAATTTACCAAATAATGGTCGCAGGAATGTCATCGTAATGAATAATGCATCGTACCACTCCCGTAAAGAGAGATTCCCTAACAATTCCTGGAATAAAGCTGCAATCAAGAAATGGCTAGTGGAAAAAGACATTTTTTTCGAGGAGTGTTATTTCAAATCCGAGCTATTAGAAGCAGCGCGTGCTTTTAAAGATCAATACGATAAGTATCATCTTGATGAGTATGTTTCACAACATAATGTTTATATTTTAAGGCTTCCTCCATATCACTGCGAATTGAATCCTATAGAAATGGTGTGGAACCAAGTTAAGCGATATGTAGGTACCCATAATACCACTTTTAAAAACGACGAGGTACGCCAGTTGATCGACGATGGTTTCGCACGCATCATAGAGCAAAATTGGCGCAATTATGTCACTCATGTTGTTGAGAAAACGAAAACTGAGATGTGGACTGCGGACAACCTGCAAGATGACGTAGACCAATTGATAATACACGCGAACACAGGGGAGAGTAGCGAAAGCGAATCCGACATCTCGGATGTAGAGGACGACTTTAGTATAATTAATTGAATATCTGTGAGTAACCTCGATTATTTTACACTGTATAACCAATAAAATGCATTTACCAGTCCAATCAGAGTATGGGCTTTTCGGATATTGGGCTGGGTGCACGGAAATCGCGTTTCCGGAGGTTCTACCCTGTGTATTTATAGCTATCAAGAAATGTAATTTAAAATATATTTGTTAGTTTAATAAAGTATAAATATAATATAATGTTAAATAACTTACACTATAAACCTTATACCTGCTCATCTGGTCAAGTGTGGGCAAGGAAAGCCATTATCCCATATGGAATAACACAAGGTTTCGCTGAAAACTACCAGGTTGCTATGCCAAGGAACTAGGTAAACTTATGTTGTGTGTAAAAAACTCGAGACTGCATTATATTTTAACAAGGACAAAAACTGCACTTCAGATTTCCACAAAAAAAATTTCATAGTAGGTGTTAAAATGTCGCAGTGATTCAAGTGCGCAACTTGTTTTTTAATAACATCGCCGTGATTAAAAAATGTGCAAAGCTTTTTCGATATTCCCGTTTCTGATAATTTTTCACATATTTACAAAAGAAAAAGTTTTTCTTGGATATTGGGCTGGGTGCACGGAAATCGAGTTACCTGAGGTTCCACCCGGTATATTTATAGCTATCAAGAAATGTAATTTAAAATACATTTGTTAGTTTAATAAAGTATACAGTTTTATAATAAAATTCTCGCTAAAAACTTAATGTCTTTTTATTCAAATTCATGCCTCTTATTTGGCTACTTGAAGGCAATTATTTTATCAATATATTATTTTATAATAAATAACAGAGCTCGGCGTAGATATCTGGGTACGGTTCTGTGACTACCACTTGGACCTGTTTGTATCGCCAAGCACAAGGTGTGAAATCCGGCAATTGTGCATTCCTATATTAGCCGTACTGCACTCTCGGTGTGACATTTTCTATATAATTCTAACACAGAGAATACCAGCTGTGACGAGAAACAACGGGTACTTATTCCTGAAGTACCAGTAAAAAGAAGGTACGGTTTGTACTAGTATAAAAGGATGAAAAAAATTAAATACATCCTTTATGGGGTGGCAGGTATACGTTTATGTGAACTGTTATAACAAATAAAACAAAACTTATTAAAACAAAAATATATTATTGAAGTAGACTTCTTATTGTATTGACTGACAAATAACTTTTAAGCTAAATTTGAAACTGGAGAGTCCTCTAAAGCTTTAGATGGAAGTGTAACAAGTCCAAGGGAAGGAGTCAATAAAATTCATAATATTCTTGGTCCAAACAATCAAGTTGTTGCCTTAAAAATGTAAGACAGATTAAAAATAGTATGTATAACTATCCTTTAAAGAAACACATTGTGTAGGATAAGCATTGTATGCCAGTTCCACCACAAGTTTCAAATCAGAATCTGAAAAAACCGCAATAAAAGAGGTAAATAGGACTCGAAAACGAAAGCGGAATCCCCAGATGTGGAAGAAAATACAATGGAAGGAGAATTATCAACAAGGAAAAAGCTACATCAACGTTAAATTTATAGCTAGGCGTGCTCAAGTAATTATCACAAGGACATATTGCAACCAAAGTTGTCGTTGTTGCAACAAATAAATGAGATAATCACGTGAAGTGATAGTTGTGTTTCTCAGAACAGGATCTCCCTGATCCTAGTAGCAATCACTGTCTTCCTGAACAAACATCCTAATGTCCAAATAGCTATGAAGGTTACGGATATTTGGTCTTCACTAGCACTTGTTAGACTTTTGATAGAAGTTAATAGACGAAAGCCATTCTGTGTGTGATTAGTATGAAATCAACACACTTTAAAAAAATCAGCATCATTATACCAATATAATAAAATACCTTACACCAAAGTTTGTCATTTACGTTTTGTGCAAGGGGATATATTTACTGTTCAGTATAAACTGAATGATCACAGCTCCGAATTTTCTACAGTCAATGATGGTAAAGTGACCAGCAGTACTAGGAAGAAACAAAGAGTGGTTTCCATAACTTAATTCCACTGCTGCCTTTGTAGTAGCTTCGGCAGATAACAGAAAATCCAAATCTCTGACTGAGAAAAAGCTTGAGCATATTAAGTTTACGTATAAATGGATGCCACTGGAAGATCAGAATTACATGAAATATTTTATTTCTGAATCGAAATAGATTATAAAAAATAAAAGTTAATTTTCTACTATTAGTTAATTTTCTTTTTCCTATGTTTTTAAAAATTCTTACATCATTGTCTAGGCTATTATTATTATCAGTGCTACAAAGTCTACACTGATGACATACTTTTAAAGCTTCAAATTTATTTAGGGGCACAAAGTTCCAAGAAGAGCGGTTACAGTGCCATAAGGTTCCCGGTGCAAGTGTAACGGTTTAAAAAACCATGAAATTTGCATTTTA